CCCCAAAACCCCAAAACCCCAAAACCCCAAAACCCCAGAAAGAAGTATAATGTTGTTATGTTATGTCATGCTAGATAAATATATAAAATTAGAGATGAAAATGAAAATTGTTGAAAGAAAACTTTCTTGCACCTTTATCAAATAAATGTATTTGCCACGAGTGAATAATAAATCATTCAAGGATTTTTTAAAAAAATCATGGGTAGTTCTCACATATATTTTACTTGCCTCTTTGATCCTGTTCTATTATACAATTTCTTGGCTTTAAATGCATCTATTAATTAAATTAGTTCAATCACCATTAAAATAATTACTCTGAGTAGATAGCTTGAGCTGAAATGCTTTTTACATCTTGAGCAAACTAATTTCTTCTTTTTCTTATGGATCTCCATATGTTTATTAAGATTAGCTTTCTATGTGAAGGCTTGTTGACAGTCTGCATGGTGGCATATAAATGGTCGCTCACCAGTGTGAACTCTCAGATGATCAAAAAAATTGTGCCATTTTCTGAATATAATATCGCAGCCATCATAGTCACATTTTAAAATTTTCACGAATCTGCGAGTCGCTGGATTTTTATATTTAAAAATCCTGAAGTTTTTGGTGAGAGGAACTGTTTCCTCAATTCGCAACTCATGTACGTCAAAGTCCTGCCCTTAGATTATTTAAATATCTACTCCCGGTGGAATCTCTTACCTCAGCTTGATGTCAGAAATTTCCTAGTGACTCACGATCTAAACATAAGCCCTAGATTCATTAAATTCTTTTCTTTGAAGATCTTCATCAGTAGAGTCTATTGGATTCGATACTATACTGTCTTGCTTTCCAAACTCATTTTGCTCTATTATTCTAGGTTAGAATGTTTTTTAATCTTTTGCCCTTTATCCCTGATTTATAAATGTCTCTTGCTGAATTAAATCGCAATTGAGTATTGAAGGAGTAAATGAACCATACATACCATTTTTACCTTCTTCTCCAGTCTGGAATAAGTATGGAAATAGATGAAGGATAGAGGGAAGAACCGGGAGGTCAAATGTGGCATGACGGGCAAATAATGTATGCTCCTATCTGTCTTACTGAGAGGTATAGCTATCCATGTGGTTAAGGAAGATTTTCTAATGTTTTTTAAATTGTTATTGAATATAAAACTGATTAAGCTGATTAATTTAGCCGATCTTGGAGGATAACTATGCAAATGGGGTTTTGGGGTTTTGGGGTTTTGGGGTTTTGGGGTTTTGGGG